CAAGTAGGTCGTTCCTTTGCGAGTGATGGAAGTTAGACAAAAGAGGCCCAGAGGCCGGAGAGAACGCAAGAGGGAAGAAGAGGGCTAGAAAGGTCACCGGTCGAATCCGAGGGACCCGGACGAACATCCCCCAGCGTCGCATCTACCAAGACCTCAACCTGTCTGCGCGGCCTTCCGGACCCACTGGGTCCTGAGGTGCACCGGCTTGCTCCTCCCTCCCGCCGCCCCGCCGGGCGTGGCTGGGTGCGCCCGATCCTTGCGGATCGGCGCCGGCTAACCAAGAGCCGGGTGCGCCCAGGAGCCTCCCTTCGCCGCCTTACTGCCCTTTCTTGGGAGCCGGTGGGTTGGGCAGGAAGAAGATGCTTTCGCTTCTCGGTCTCCGGGCGGCGGGAGTGGAGAAAAGCGGCCAGGAGCCACCGCCGTGCTCGGGATCAATAGCAGCCGATAGCCGGCTCGAGTCCTCGGGCCATGCGAGTCGTTAAGGGACGTCGGGGGAAAGAGCCGAGGCGGGGCTGGGGTCAGGCGGGCGTCGGGAGAAAAAGTGCAGAAGGCGGCTGGGATCCGCTGACAGAACCCCCCCATCTCCAGTTCCCGCGCTGTCCCGTCCCTCACGCTTTCTAAGGGAGAAGGCTGGGCTTCCTGGGTCCTCTGGAGACTGCTGAAAGAGCCTAGAGTGGAGTGGAGCGGAGTCTGCGACCGCTGCACGAGGCCGGCACCTCACACACACTTGAGGCCCAGAGTGGTGGTAGGGGGTGGGGAGGGACTGTGTGACCTGGAGGACACTGCGTAGGACAGCGCTCATGTACTTCGTGATCCACACAGTAAGCGTGGCGGCGAGGGCAAAGGGATTGGTGCTCTTCGCTCAGCGGACACTAGCATAAGCGCAGGGCTAAGCTGAGCGGCTTCGGGGACCGTGAGTTTTCTCTCTCCGAGTTTCTGCGACCAGTACGTTTTTGAATAAAAGTTCAATGGAAACGAAAAAGCATTGACCTAGTGTGCTGTCGCTGTGGAAGCGTGAAATCTGTACTTTCATCCTGCAATCAGGAGCGGGAGATAGGCCTCGGTTGAACGCCACAGCCCCGGTTGTAGCGCCGGGGTTGCTTCCCGCGGACCTGCTCGCCGCGCCATCTGGACACGCGACAAGCAGAGCCCAGATGCCGGAGAGCCTACGTCCAGCCTCGCCCCCGACTCCTCCACAGGCTGAACCACCCGCAAGGAGGGGCTCCCTTTTCCTTCCACGTGGAGGCCTCGAGGTCTCTGCACCCCCCCAAAAAAAAAAACTCCTCCCGCCCACCAGGAGGGAGGCGGCAGGCCTTGGCTTCAGGAGGGGCCTGCAGCCGGGTCCAGCTGTCTCCCGGTAGGTTCCCGTCGACAGCTCCTACCCCCATCTCCACCCGCGGCCTCTCTGCTTTGCATGAGAAGGAGCTAAGCTGGGGCGGGGGCCGGGGCGGGCCACCCGGGACTGGGGCTGCTAAAGACTCCTAAAAGGGGCGGTTGGGTCGAGAGCTCGAGCAGCGAAAACCCGTGCGGCTGGGGGTGGGGGAGCGTGGGGACTGCTCAGTGGGACCCGTTTCCCCCGGTGGCCCTCCCTTGCAGCAGCCTGGGGAGCAGGGCAGGATCCGAGCGGGTGAGCAAATATCCCGCCCCACACTGCGTTTGGCGCCTCCGGGGGTGCCTAAGTCTTGATACCCGTCGCCTGGTTCCTGGAAGCGCCGGATGGATAAAAAGAGCGCGCAGCCCAGTCCAAGGCTGTGAAGCCCGCTTGCTGGGTTGGAAAATCGCCCTCCCCATTCCCTGCCCTGCGCCGGCCCGGGGAGAGCCCAGCCAAGCGAGTTGGTGTGATGGCGATGACCCGCCTCTACGCCGTCCTACCTCTCTCACTTGGGAGCTAGAGCCCAATGTTGCAGGAGGGCGGAGAAGGCGCTACGTGGGCACATGGTGGGCCTCGGCTCCGGTTTCCAATAAAATGTGAAGCAGGCAGCAAGGTGGGGACTGCCGGCCGGCCTCGGGGTTGCAGAGCCATACTGGTAGAGGCTCGGTGGCAGGAAAGGGGCGTAGGTGGCCCCCAAAACCCAAGAGTTCCACAGAGCGCAAGAAAATTCGCTGTAGTAGTGACTTTACGGTTCGTCCGAAGAGGGTATTTCATTTTGCCGTGAGAGCCAGAGTCATAGTCAGTCCAGGATCACTGCAATTGAATTTCCAGGCATTTTCCCTAATGTAGCCGCGAGACCTGTGTGGGTGTGAGTCCCACACCCGGAGTGGCGTCAAGAGACCAAACGCAAAATACCTGCAGGATCTGGCGTAGCCGCCTACGAAGGGCTGGGTGAGCTTTCTTAGCGCCCTCTCTTCCCTTCCCCAAAACAGCAAAATAAACAGAACAAAACGCAAGACTACCCAGCCCTGCCACCTTCGACTCCACACCGGAGAAAAATCCTGATTTAAGGGCAGAAAAAGTGCCACCGCAACGGAATTTGGTGATTCGCTTGCGTGTGCCGAGAATCTAGAGTGACTCCTGGAGGTTATGGCTTCCAGGACCCAGCCTCGGCCCCTTTTTCTGGGAAAATTTGCCCTCGTGGGCAGTAATCCCGAGTTTACACCCAGAGCGAATTTGAGAGGGATGAGCTCGCAGAGAAGTGGACTAGGGAGTGGCCTGTGGTTGTCTCGGGAAGCTGGTGCCAGCCCAGAGCCAGGAAAGGGGAGAACTGGAAGCCAGGTCCACCCGGCCTTGCGCCGCGCACCCAACTGCAGCCTCTCCGTGGTGCCCTCGAAACCTCGCCGCCTCCCCCCGCCCCCATCAGCACCCCCGCTGCCGCTGAAGCCCTGCGGCTTCCCGCCTCGTCGTTTGTTTTTGTACGTACAAGGTGTCTCCGGATCACAGTTTTCTCACAACTTCTCGCCTAGGTTGCAACTCCTCACCCGCGGCACTTCCGCACCCACTCCTTCCCCTCCCCTCGCCGCGCCTCCGGTCTCCCCCGCCCCCACCAGGAAACCTCCGGAATCAACTTTCCAGGAGCACGCAGCAGGGAATAGACACTCTGGTCATCTACAGACTGGGACCTTATGGACTTTGGATGGATTGGGGGAAGGGCAGGGAAGGAGGGATTGGAGAAAGGGAGGAGGGAAATTCTGCTGTCAAGCGCCCTGCCCTCAAAGACGCGTGCTGTGCCTGAGGCAAACTTTCAGGCCCCAGAAAGTATCTGGGGGGAAAAAAGGCAACACCAGCTACTAGCAAAGCCAAACAGTACAGGGAGGTCCGGGGTCACGGACTCCGCGCGCGCCAACCCTGGTCAAGGCTTGGGTTTGGATGGCCCCCACCCTTCTGCAGAACTCCAGCCCTCGCCTGCGCCTCCTCTCGCCCTTCCTCAGTCCCTCCCACCAAAAGCAACGACCTACCGGAGCCGGAGGGGACTCGGACACCTTGCAGTTCGGTGCCCGCGCCGCGCCGGGCCGCGGGTGCCGCCGCCGCTGATCCTCGAAACGCGGTCTCCACGCACTCTCCCGGGCCGGGGGATGCAGAATGGTTTACAGAGGGACCGCGAGCCGCTGATTGGTCGCAAGCCTCCGTGACGTCGGCCGGCTCTGCATTAAGGCGAGGGGGCTTCCAGAGAGCTCAGCCAACAGCCAGGAGCAGTGACCGAGCCGCCAGAGCGGGAGAGAGATACGCTGGGGCGGCAGACTGGGCCAGGAGACCAGGGACCGAGGGACGCGCGTCCAGGGAGAGCCAACAAGGAGCCGCGGCCCGGGCGGCGACGGCGGCGGCGGCGGCCCGTGCCGGGCTGTTCCCAGCCGCCGGCCTACTAAAGTGGCCGCAGCACCAGGACCTTTTCTTTTTTAAAAAAAGCTCTTTTAGCTGTTCCCTCCCCCGAGACTCCTTATAAAAAGGAAAAAAAGGGAAAGGAGTCTAGAAAGGAAACCCAGATTTGCAACTACAACGAAAAAAGGGCGAAAAGGAAAGAAAAAAAGAAAGTCGCGCGACTGTAGGGTTGAACGCAGGCAACCGGAGCGCGGGCCAAGCGATGCGGGGCCGCGCGCCCAGGCGGCCAGGAGTTGTGACTGGAGCTACGATGCAAGGCCAGGCGCGGTGAGAAGCCAGTGTGTATCGCCTCACCGGAAGAGCCCAGGAGCAGGAAGGGCCGCCCTGAGGACACAGAGGCCACTGAGCAGGACGCCGGCTGAGGTGACGGGGCTGGGGCGGTGGGGAGCCAGGAGCGAGCGCGCCTGGCTGAGACCGCCGGTAGTTGTCTCTCTCGGTCCTCGACTGACACAAACACTTCTCCAAAAGGAGATAAATCTAAGCAACAACAGCAATCATCAACCAGCTATCCCTCCTTCCTCCCTCCCCCCGCGCCCCTCTTGGCCTGCTCTCACCACATCCCTGGGCCCAGCGCGGGCGCCCAGCGCGTCTCGACCCACTGCGCGATGCCGGCAGTTTAGGATCCAAAGCGTCTCTTGGTTTTGTCCTTTCTTTGCCTTTTTTGAAGAGAGCGGGGAAATCCCGGAGGTGGACAGCCGGCACGCACATCCCCACCCTCACACCTCCGACAAAAGCAGATGCACTTTGACTTCTGACAGCTCTACCTCAACCTGAAGGGAACTCGGTGGCTCTTTCCCTACAACCTGAGCTCGCCGTGCCGGCGTTTTGATTCTCCGCTTATTTATTTCAGTTCCCGTCGCTGTTCTCGGTGACCTTCACTCCTCCGCTGGCTCTGGGAAGAAGGGTTGCTTTTCCTCCCGCCTGAGACTCTCTTTTGTCGCTCTGGGAGCTGCGGCGGCGCTGCTCCGCTCCGGGACCCTGGGACTCCCGGTCTGCGCGCTCCACCCAGGCGCTCCCCCCTCGCATCAGCCTCATTGCCCCTCTTGATTTCCTGGTGCGGTTTTTGGCTTGCGCGGCCGAGTGTATTAGAAGGTTAGGGGAGCTCGTGTGGGTCGTCTTCTGGAGTCAGCCCCTCGGCTTTACCTGCTTCTCTCTCTTCGGGTCCCACCCGACCAAACCAAAGACCATGGTGCACTGTGCCGGCTGCAAAAGGCCCATCCTGGACCGCTTCCTTTTGAACGTGCTGGACAGGGCCTGGCACGTCAAGTGCGTCCAGTGCTGTGAATGTAAATGCAACCTGACCGAGAAGTGCTTCTCCCGGGAAGGCAAGCTCTACTGCAAGAACGACTTTTTCCGGTGAGTACTTCCTCGCGCGCATCGGCTGCTCCTTGCCTGCGCTCCCTTGGCGGCCAGCTTCGGATCAGAGGTCAGCGTGGCCGCGGCAGCCGCGCCAGGAGCTGTCTCTGGAGAGGACAGCCAAGTCCCGCAGGCTCCCTTCTCTTCGCCAGCTGGCGCGCTGGGGGCTCAAGACGCGGCCCTGCTTGCATCCTGGAAACGGTGGGTCCAGGTTTGGCTGCACGTGCCTGAAAAGTATGGGCCTGAGCCTGCCTCGGCCCAGAAGCTCGTCCAAGCTTGGAAGGAGGCAGGGCAGCCTGGGGCCTGTCCTGCCGCCCCTGAGCTCTTGAGCAACTGCATTCTCCCAGCTGAGCCTTGCAGCCCGGGCTCGTTTGCCCCCACAGCCTTTCCAGCCCCAGAGGTCTTGGCGGAAACCTCCAAGCCTTTAGGTTGGAGTGTCCGGACACCTGCTGGGGAAACAGCAGGGAGGAGCTCGGCCCTGAGGAGGATTCCGCAGGCTAGAGCGTCTGCCCTGGTTTTAAGTGGCCGCTTGGCAAACTGCTGCACTGTCGCCAGCGAAGGCTCTGAGACGGCAGCCTCCTCGGGGCAAGGTTTCCCCGCTTCTCTGGCTGCGGCGCAGCCTCGGCCCTGTTCCGACTCGGCTGGGAGACGAGGGCTCCTCTGCGAGCCCTCCAGGCACTGCCCGGCCGCTGCCTTTCCCTCCAGCTAAAACCAAGGAAAAAGCCAAGACCTGCTGGCAGGAGCCAGGACACTTCTTCCTACGCTCCTCCTCCTCTTAGCATTTTAATTGTATTCACCTAAACGCACTACTTGGCCACCTCACCCACTCAAACATAGGCATCAACAGAGTAGAAAAGGCTCACACAGGAGCGATTCCCCTGCGTGGTTATGAATTCTCCCAGTTTACTTGGCTGGCTTGGTTTATGCTTCTCTGAGTCTGTGGTGATGGGTGAAACGGGGTGTGTGCAGGGACGTTCGAAGTCCCCTGGGCTTCTTTGCCCAGAGGCCTAGGACACCCGGTCTCCAATGCCTGTCTGGTACGCGTGGCTCAGGGTACAGAGGAGACCGTGGAGTAATGAGCTGTGCGTGTTTGCACTGCCAGAATGGAGCGTGGCCCGAGCGAGCTTCTGAGCCGCGGCGGACCCGGCTGGGTGTCCCTCAGCCGTGGTGTCCCTTGCAGGTGGGCCCCCGAGGCCGGGCTTTCGCCAAGCGCGGAGGATTGCCTAGAGCAGGCTCAGCCCGGCTGTGGCTTGCTGCAAGCGCCAAGCTATACGGCTTTGGGCACCAAGGTTTGAACGTGGCGGCAGCCCAGCTGCGCCCACCCGGGCTCTCGGTGTCTGTGTTAGTTTACCCGAGGCTGGGTGGGATCTCGCCAACCTCTAATCCATTACGGTAAGAGAGAGTCTGACGCTAGGAGAGAAAAGCGGCACTCTAAGCGCCTTCATGTTAATTGTAGAATTGAACTGTCCTCCGAATCTAATCGGAAAGTAAGTTTCCCGCCACCTTCTCACCTTCTTCGGAGGCGGTTTGCTGCTCTGGGATAACGCTGAACCGGAGTCCGTGCTGGCAGCTGGGCCCATGGCTTTAACCGTGTGTGTCACCTCCATGATTTCCCCCTGG